CAAACGCTTTTGGATCAAATTCCTGCAAGACAAAAGGTATATTGCTGCCACTGGCTTAGGTGCTTCCATTTATGCAACTCTATGTATTTCTTAGGATTTGGAATCGTGCAAACGTGACTTGAAGTCCCATCTTGCCACTGTTTATGAGTTCGAACACAAGTGGAACATCGTTCGCAATGTTGAACCAGGTGATGCCATGCGGATGGCCATGGCACAGCGAGGAGTGCCAGGTCCACCCGGAGCTGGTGGTCCTATTCCTGTATCTCCTGGACATCAACCGCTTCCATCTCCGACGGCCATGGGTGGTGTTCCACCTCAGTTTCATTCGCATTTGGCAGGGACTTCTCCGCAATTTCAACAGATGCGTGTACCTCAACAGATGCCTTATGGAAATGTTTGCGGCCCACAGCAGGAAGTGCAACGAGCTCCAATGCAGGTTCGTGTATATTTGTTTGGCCAGTAAGGTATCTGTTCTAACGGGATTCCATCGCTAAGTTTTCTGAAATTAAATGTCGTCTTAGGTTGCGCGGATGTGGACGCGTATGCCAGCTCCGGTGCTTGGCGGTATACACTACGAACGTCTGCAAACCGCTTTTGAGAAAGAGGTACACATGAGAGATCATTGTTGTTTTGTTACGGTGTGCTAATTCTCACTCAGGTGTATGAATGTCTGGATGATATGGTCAGCCGAGTATCTGTGCATTTTGATGGCCGGGACCCTGCACGTGAAGGTCTTGCTGGACAAGGCATGTTGAAACGTTTGTTGGAACCTGCTATGGGGCAACAGATGCCGCCTATGGGTGGTGCTGGTCCTCCGGGTTCAGCTAACCATTTGATGGAACAGTTGGAACCACCCAGACCGAAGAAGAAGCGCACGCAACAGAAGAAGGTAAGGTTAAGCAGAAGTGTTGCAGTCCATCGTTAAATCTATCAATTTCAAGTTCGAAACGTTGGGTATGGGAAACGAATACGATCTGATGGTTGAAAGAGTGAACACCCAATTACGGCTTTGTGAACAATTGCCTAAGCGGGCATTGGAACCTGCACCACGTAATCCTGGCGCTGCATTTGCTACCATGGGAATAAGTGACCTACCAGATCGGCGAGGTGGGTTTTTGCAAGTTTTCTGCCTAATGCTTCTGTTTGCAACTCTAAATGTTACCTATCTCAACCTCCCTGCGCGGTAACTATGATTCTTAGATAAACGTGCTTTGGTTGGGAACGAGTTTGGTAACCTATCCCTGTCATTCGTCGATGATTACTATACTGGATCAAGTCGAGGACTTGGATGCCTGGAAATGTCCAGCCTTTCTATGTCCGATCTTGCTCCTCAGGCGAATCTACCTGCGCTACTGGGGTAAGTCTAGTCGCTATCTTCTTATTCCCGAGGTATAAAAAACAATGAAAGCATTGTAGAATGTCATCACCACCCATGTATGATTTGGTGGTCGATGCCGAGGATACTGCATATGGCACTTTTGATCAGTGGGTGGTATTTGCTCACGCATTAGATCGACAGCCATGTGGTGATCACATGCGTGTGGCTAGCAAGTTACCAGAATTTACCATACCGCTTGAACCTCGACGTGCAGTATTCGATATGGTAATTGGCACTTTTGTTATAGCTGAGTATTTTCTGAAGTACCCTTCTCTTCAGAAACCCGAACCTCCGGAAGAGGTCCAAGTTTCTCTAGTTGTCAAAGAAGAGTCAACAGTACCACCAGGAATGGGAGTAGCTGCCTTATTCGAGCAACTACGGTCTATCTTAGGGGTAGAGCAGAACATCGACTATCAGCTCGATACTCCACCAATGTCACCAGAAGCATCGATGAAAGGTGGGACATGAATTTGTTTCTGCATGCGCATTTTTCCGAGTTTTGTCATTCGTTTCAATTATATTCTCTCTCAAAATGAGATTTCC